TCTACAATCGATTCGTTTTGACCCGGGTGACCGAACACCAGAGTGGTCGGTTTGTTTCCACCTTATTGAATCACCTGGTCGATAAAACGATTAACTACAAAGCTCTGGATAGGTCTTGCCATTGGCGAAGCACAAGGTGCGCCTGAGTCCAGGATTCCAAAAGTTACATTCATCCGAAGTTTACAAACTGAAAGTTGTCAAGCATTCCCGTGACATTCTCTTGCCCGTTAAGGGTTAACGGTATGCGGTTGCGGCTGTCCAACCGGTATTATTGCAGCAAAACCACGATTAAATAGAAAACTCTACTTTCGGGTTCACTAGAGCGAGACAATATGTGAGGTGTTGCTTTCAATGAGATTCAGTAGGAAGTTTCAGATTTTAAAGTTCCCCGTAATAAATAGGTTTTCTTTACACTTAGTGAGACTGTAAAATAATCGTTAGCATTTTCTTCATGTATGGAATCAAATATTTTGAAATCCTATGATGAGCAACTGTAGCCTCTTCGTCTTTACGAAGGTGTATTGAAAACACTGTAGCCATCACTTGGATGCTTCAAAATCAATGAGAGACAACTGACTTGCTTACTGCAAGGGTTCTTCCCAGAAAATTTTAACTGAGACAAATGTCTTATCTTTTTGCAGCAGCTGAAACCGGAGATATCTCACGTCATCAGTGGATGAGATGACAACTCTTTAGTCAAAAGCTTCGAATTGCTATTACGGCTACGGTTGTAGTTGCTGTTTTTTTGCTGCTCATTTGGATGAAAGAGTAGTGTGAGGAGTGGATTGCCGAAAGCAGTCTCATGGCGACTATAAAATCAGTGTGTATAGACTATTGGAGAACAGACTGAGAAGATGTATGAGTGTCAATATTTGCGACAAACAACTGTATCACTCATTGTCTCTAACTATCGTTTAAGCGGATTCCAAATTCCACGTCGGAGAAGTCTATCGCGACCTATTTGATAAGGGTTTTCATACGCAGGTTCACCTACCAGGTTTTTTCACCCAATCACTCATTCGTAATGTTTGTCTATTTGGTAATATGTCTCCAACATGTGGCAACCAAGTTTAAGAGTGACGAGTACGCGTCACAGTGAGCGACCACGATTACCTTTGGTGCTTCAAATCACCAAAATGCGGACAAATCTTACAAAACAATCAGCAGTGTGGCCAGGCACCTATCATGAACGGCTGGAGATAATCGCGAATTCCATCATGGGTGAATACGGTGTTTGGGGAAGAGATCACATTAAGAAACTACGATAACTAGATTACCTTTGGCCAACCTGGGTATCCGTGACTCTTTTGCGACATCCAACTTCCCTTTGAGGAACACTTGAACGGCGTGCGGTCGCTCAAGTTGTGCGCTCCCGGTTTAATCGGA